CTTGCGTCTAACAGCAACCAGACGCAGAGCCTTCACAGCAGTGGCACCATCGCTCTGGAATACTCTGCCATCTGAAGTCTGTGCCTTGTGGGACTGATCAGCTTTCCGCAGGGCATGTCAGACATACCTGTTTCAACAGGCTTTTAATGTTTGATGTTGTTTTTAAATTGTTTTAAATTGCTTTTAAATTTTGTTAGATTTTAGCTATTCTTGTAAGACGCTCCGAGCCCCAGGGGAGTGGCGGCATAGAAGTTTAATTAATTAATTAATTACTTTTCATCCAACCCTCGTACCTTTAATCCCAGGTTACAACATTGCTGCATTCTTCCACCTGGGTTGAACTCGTAGCATGGATGTTTCACTGCCTTCCTTCCCCTTGACTTCCTTCAGGTGTGAATGTGACCACTCCTTCCCAGCCCGGCTCGCCCCCGCTCTCCTCCACGCAGCTCCAGATTGACCCTCATCTGCAGGAGTTCCAGCTGGTGGACCTCAGTCGCCGCTTCCTGGCCCAGGATTCCTTCTGGACGCTTCCCGGGCAGTTCCTGGGCAACAAGGTGAGGCAGGCGGAGTCGAGAGCTGGGCATCATCGTGTGCCTTCGAGGACATTCAAATCGATCAGGGATTCGTAGGGGTCTCTGTGATTGCCACCAACTTGGGGACTGCCTTTCATCTCTTTGGTCTCCTGTCTTTTGGGGCTCCAGGTGGACTCCTACGGTGGCTCCCTACGCTTCAAGGTGCGCTACGTCTTGGGCCGGGGCCATTCGGAGCCCCTCCGGAAGCCCAGCGTGGTCCTCGTGGGCAACGGGCAACATCTCCTCTACCGGGCCGTGGTGCCCACCCAGCCCAACGTGGTCAACCAGCGGGAGGTCCAGTTCACTGAGGTCAGTGCTTTTTCTGCAGATCATGAGGTCGTCTATGTATAATAGTGGGTGGCAGTGTATGTATCCTTGTGGGCGATTTCCTATTAGTTTCCACTTCCATAGAAACTATGAATCCCATTGACCATGGATCCGGACCAAACTTGGCACAGATCATGACCAGGATTGACCCTGCCTTTTGGGAGTTGTAGTTTCCTCTCTTACAGAGAGCGCTGTGAACCCAACTGACAATGGATCTGGACCAAACTTGGCACATAGATCCCCCATGACCAACAGAAGTATTATCAGGCTTTGTGTGTGTGGGGGGGGGGATGGGGGGTGGGTGACCTTTTATTTTGGGAGTTATAGTTCACCCGCAATCAAAGAGTACTTTGAACCCAACCAAAGTCTGATCTGGACCAAACTTGGCACCCAGATCCCCCATGACCAATAGAAGTATTTTCAGACTTTGTGCTGGGTATGTGTGTGTGTGTGTGTGG